ATTAATGATGTTAGCAGGGACCTAGCAAAAATTACAACCAAGTTAAGAAGTCATCGGATATGTAAAGACTAGACTTAACCAAAGAATTAGCTATAGAGTTTCTTTTTTAAGTTCATGAGTGAAAAAAAAGGAATTTTAAATGCAAAAATATATTAGAGATGACATTAAAATTACTCTAAAACTTTCGTGGTCTATTAGTTAAAGATTATGTAAGTAAGCAATAGCAATAGCCAAGTCGGACTATAATCTAGTTAAATTGTAGAGCTAAAAATGAAGCATTACTTATTTTCAAAGGTTTTTGAATAGTCAACAACTCTATTTCATTTGAATCTTTGATCTCTACGAAACCGAGAAAGTTCATAACAATTTCTCATAATCATATCTCAATATAACACCTATACCGGACATCTCTAACTTACTAACAAAGATCCATTAACATTCCACTTAAAAGTATAAATAGGTGGGTCATTCCAGCCAATTATGACCTTATTTTGATCATATTTGACCAAATCTTAACATCTTCAAAATTTTAAAATAAATCATCTTCGATATAAACAAAATGCTCATTTATATACAAAATCTAATACGTAACTCTATGACAAAAACTACTAAAAAAAAGACAATTAGTGACGTTTATTAAACTCGTTGCTAAAACCATGATTTAGCAATGGTTTTAGCAATTCTTAGCTATATTTTGGTTAGATATTGGTTTTTAGCAAAGGTTTAGAAACCGTCATCGATTCCGTCAAAATAGACCATTTTTAACGATGGATTACAATAAATAGTCACTAAAATCTTAATGTTTTGGGATTTAGCGAGGGTTTTAAATAAACTATCGCTAATTCCAAAAAAGAAAAAAATTTGTGATGGTTTCGATGTAAACCGTCACTAAAGACCCTTTTTTGTTTCTAGTGATTTTAGCGACGATTTTTAAAAAACCATTGCTAAAATCCTTAAGCTAAAAACCATGAAAATATTGGGTTTAACGATGATTTTTTTTGCTTAAAACGAGTCGTTAATCACCATAATTATCGGCAATTTTCATAAACCATCGCTAATTTGTTAACGTTGAGGGGAAACAAAATTTTTAAAAAACAATAATATTTAGTGATGGTTTAAACCCATTGCTAAAAATTAAAATCCCTAAATACCTACTACTTGAAAATTTTTTCCCATTTTCCGTATTTTCTCTTCTTCTTCTTCTTCTTCTTTTTCTTTCCTACATGTCCAAGCTCCCCATTTCCCCTTCATTTAAGGCAATAACTCCCTTCAAGCTCCTATTCTCTCTTATTTCCTTCTTCTCCTCTTTCTCTTTCCTTTTCCTCCTCTATTTTCTTCTTCTTTCTCTTCTTTCCTTATCCTCTTCCCTTCCTTCATATTCTCTATGAATAGTGCTATGACAATAGCTACTCCTCTTTTGTCCTCCTTCTTGGTTGGAGCTCCTCTTTCTCTAGTCCTCATTTGTGTAATTGATTTTCCTCGGCTTACTTGAAATTGTTAAGGTAACACACACACACACACACACACACGTGTGTTTTTTAATTTAATTATGAAATTATTTGTAAATCATAAAATAAATATATTTTAACTTGTTTATGTTAATATTAATGTTTTATAGTTGTTGTGCTTTATTAACTAATTAATATAATAATGTGTAGGTTATGTCTTGTGGTAGGGGACGTTTTCATATACGAGTGACTCATATTATATGGTGAGGGTCGTGATTCAAATATTGATGATTGTAGTGATGGTGGATGTTGTCGCAGTCCTACTTCCATTCCGGGTTGGATGTCCCCCTTGACATGTCTCCATACCACTCTCCCATAAACCTTGTGTCAAACTCATCATCGTTTGACATATTTTAGCATGAGCTCTATTATTATGGACCTATAATTTCTCATCCATCCGAACCTTCATTGTAATCGTGGCCCTCGCTCCAATAAGACAACCGGTGGGTTCTTGCATATGGCTCATCAAAAAATGTCCCTTCCGGCTTGCCTTCTACACATGCTCGGATTTACGTACAATCCTCGAATTCCAATTACTATTATTGATGGAAAGGAGTACATATTATGCACATTTTTAAAATTTTTTTGATATATATATTATTATATTTATGCATTCATTTAACTATTAATTCATATCTTGTTTGACGAGTTTGTATCCTTTTGATATTTACACTCATCAAATCTATAAGATATTCCATGAGCATGTTAACCTATTTGGATCGATGTGGAAGTCAATTAGTGAGAAAACTAAAGAGTTCTATTAGCGAGAGTTTAAGATAGTTTTTAGCTTAATTTATTATGTGATAATATATTTGAATTAAGAAGCATTAATGTTTATTTAAATGTACCAATGAAAATCTTACGAAGTCCTTTATGTGGGATTGGGAGATCAATCTAAGCATGAAGAGAGCTTGGCGAGTCTAGCAAGGAAGCGATATTTCGAATTCTTTTATTAGGTAAAGAAAAACCCTAAACCAACATATATCTCATAGGAGATATGGAATGCATGGCATAAGGAATGGGCAAAACTTGAGTCTCGTGCCCATTTTGAGTTGATGGCCCGGAACCATAAGAGCAAGATAGGAGGTATTGGAGCCGGGCCATATAGACATACGGGGGTTCAATCACCTATAGGGAGTATACAATATGCATGGTGTGTGTGTGTGTGTGTGTGTGTGTGTGTGTGTATAAATTTTGTTTATTTGTTATTTGCAATTATTACAACATCAATAAATATTTAAGTATATTTATTTCGGGATAAAGAGTTAGGTTGTGAACTTGATGCTCATAAGGTTTTTTTAAAGACTTATGAGAATAAAGTTTATGACAAGCGTGTATTCATCGATCGATGAGCAAGAAATATCTCGGGTAAGTAAATTATAAGTTTATTTCATACGTATATCACTTTTATATAACTTATTGAGATAATAATTTAATATTAAAATTTGTGCAATTATGTAAGAGAGCATTGAGAAAATATTTGAAGAGGAGGTTGTTAGCCCGAGAGATGGAGGGTACTTCACTCGACATCGACATGAATGAGATTTTTAAAATGACTCTTTTGGAGGAGACGAGTAAGATAAAAAGGATATGCGGGCTCGAGTCATAAGTCTCTCACTATTACTCTAATGTCGGTAAATCCTCTAGTTTGGCCACATTGTAGTTTCATATCGATATTGAGGCACATTGAAAGGAAACGGAGGCCAATACTTCTAGACAAGAAGAAAAGATCTAGAAACTAGAGGGTACTGTTACATCACTCTTCGAAAGTCAAAGGTGATTGGAGTACTATACTGCGGAGCGACATGCAATGATGCAATAGATGTTGCTTGAATATGCAAAGAGATAATTCATCCATTGATCCTCCGATCGACCATTATACATCCGATGAAAATGATGATATGTCATGACATGTATCCCCTTCATCGCAATATATTTTTTATTGCTTTCATGTTTTTTTTTACTAAAAAACTAATATACTTTAATATAATTTGGTGTTTGAATATATACTTGATTTTATTGAATTTTATATATTATCAAAGTTTGGTAATATTTATAAATCTATTTCATTTAAACTAATAAACTTTAAATTGGATTGGATTTCATGTTTTTTATTAGCGACATGTGAATGATGAAATAATTAACCAAAAATATATTAAAAAATTAAAAAAACTTGGCAACGATTTAAAAACTGTTGCTAATTATGATGCAAAATTTGGCCATATTTAGTGATAATTTATAAAAATTGTTGATAAACTGTTGCTAAATAGTGATGGATTTAGCTACAATTCTATTAAATAGTTGCTAAATCTGTGACCTTTTAAATACTATTAAGCGACGATTTTATGGGTGTTTAGCGATGGATTAATTGTCACTAAATTCGCAACGGTTTAAAATAAACTTAAATATTTTGTGATGAGTAATGCATTATTAACTTTATATTGTTTATTTATTTGATATGAGATAGGTTTTTTTTTTCACACCATTAATGCATTTACTCTTTTTATTCTTACTGCTAACATTTGATAAAACATATGGAATTATTGGGTAACTGCGCTTTAGCTACGTTTGAGCAACCCAACTAATCACAACAAAAATTAGAAGGAAGACCTTTGAAGCTACATAATGAATTCAACTGTATTGCAAATTTAATTTCCTGAAGCACGTACGTGGTGGGAAACAACTACCATGACGGCTTATAAAAACAGTCCCCGTGAATGTATTATGGCTTGATGAGAAAAGTTTACCATGGGATCCACATGCATGCCATGAGCCATTATAAATAGAGAGTAGATTCAACACTAAAAATCATCAACACTCTTCGCTTTCTTCTTCATCTGCAAAATTATAAGCTTTCTCACAGGTTCATGTCTTCATCATTGCTAGTGTTTTCCCCTTATTTGGCATCTTTTATTTCCATTGATGTTTCAGTCATTAATTCAAGGCCTTCACAGACACAGTTTTGTTTTTCGTTCTTCCAGCTAACATTTATTGTATTTGGGTTTATTTGTTTTCTTACATGGTCTTACAATTTAAGACAATTTATTTGCTATCTTATACTTAAAAAATATGAAATCATTCCAAGGTAATGGTGGTTTTCAGTTATTAAGTTTCAAATTTTAAAAAAATTTCATGAAGGAGTGTTTGGCAGTAGGTTAAAGCAGGTTGAATTTTATCCCTGTAAAATCTAACCTTGTTTTGTATTTTTTTTTCATATAAAATTATTTTTTTAACCTTATTTAATAGCTTAGGTAGAGATATTTTTTCGACACTGATAAATTAATTTCTTAGGACCCATGAACTCTTTAAAATGATTGAATGTGTTGACTTTGTATGTAATTTTACTTGTACTGTGTCTGTGCTTGTTCATGTTGGCTGGAGATATTCGCTAGTGTGGTTAACTGATAAATTAAATCTTGGTCCTCTTCACATATTCTAACAGGTGAAAGTCGAAATTTCTTCACACCCATTTGCAAACAAAAGGAATTAATCATGAAGGTGTGGATTTTGCAATTGATGGCAGTACGATTATGGGTGGGACTTCATCACCATTTCCTGGCAAACGCTCATGACATTTATCCAAATCCAGAGCCTAAGGCCATAATCGAAATGAATGCCACCGATGAAGATTGGGAGGTTAACTTTAATGAAGCAAAATCCTTGGTCATTACTGGGCTAAATGGTCTCTGCTTGGAAGTATACAGATTCGCTCCAAAGTTAGTGACATGCAAAGAAAACGCAGCAGAGCAAAGATGGCAATTCCATACAGATGGTACTATACGGCCTGAAACGCAACCACTCAAGTGCCTGACTGCTAATGAACTCAAACAAAGAGGAATTGTTGTCATTGTCCAATGTAGCTACAGTTCGTCTGCTTATACAGTTTGGCGATATAGATACACTGATCATGCCATTGTCAATAGGGCCAGTAACATGGTGTTGGATGTGAGTGAGTCTATAATAAGCAGCTCGTTGGCTCAGATATTAATTCTTCATCCCAGCCATGGAGGAGATAACCAGAGGTGGTATACAGAACCACGAAGACTTCAGCATATGTAGTTCTGTATCAAGCAGCTCCAATAAAATAAAGACAACAAAATTATTGTTGTCTGATAACAAAATGTGATACTTTCCTATGAGTAAATTGGCCTATGCTCCCCATTGCCCCAATCCTTAATTATGTATCACGCTAAAATATATAAATGAATAAAACGCTGCGTTTTTTTCCCCCCGGAAATGTCTTGTTTTTGTGGCAGATAATATGGTCGTGGTGGTATATATATATATTACATTTTTTAATTAAATATTTCACCAATTTTCCAAGGTTAACTGTTTGGTGGATTTAAAGAAAAAGATTCTTTTCTCGCTTTGAGCTTACCTGCAAAACTCAAGGAAGGTGACCGAAGATGAAGAGACCATATTGGTCCTGGTTTCTCTTTCGACGTCAAAGAATCATCGGAATTAGGTCATATAACTCAATGATTATGCCCACAAATTTATTCAATCAAAAATTTTAGTTATTTATAATTGATAAAACCCCAAGGTTAATCACAAATCAAAGAAACTTAACAACAATCACAAGAAAAAATATTCAAAAACATAGAAAATAAGGGATTACAAATAATGTAAGTGCGGGAGAATAATTAAAAAAACCAAAAGTATACTGACCAAAAAGTGACGATGAAGGATATTTTGGGGATTTATTTGGATGTTTGACTTAAATTCAGGTATTATAGAAAAATAAATCTAAGCCATAGCCACTTTCTAGCTTGCTAACTATTCCTTTTAATCAAATTCAACTCCCGGCGTTCATTAAAAAAAAATAATAATAATAAAATAAAAATAAAAAAATAAAAAAATTAAGGATATTAGCCTTTGTATCATGACTTGAAACACTCATTTTTAAGACGATTTTCAGTTTGTCAATTTGGAGGTTACCTTGATTGATAGACAAAAAGGTTGACTTCTGTTATGCGAATTACAGAGTCAAAGGTTTTATCCATTTGTCGAAGTTTTTTTTTTTTTAAAAAAAGGATAATTATTAGAAAAATTCTCTAAAAGAAATCTTTTATCTAAAATAACTCAAAATTTGTTTTTAAATCTCTGAAAATCAAAATAAGTTTTTTCTTCCGATAACATTTAAAATAACTTAAAATTTATTTTTCAATCTTTCAGAACCAAAAGAAGATTTTTCTTTTGATAGCATCCAATTGGGTCTATTTCCTATTTTATTTCTAGACTCTAAATTGTTACTCAGGTCCATTAAAGTCTTGTTCAAACCCATATGACTTTGTCTCTCTAAAATTTACAACATATCCTATTTCTGTTACATTATTTTCTCTTTTTTTGACGTTGGATTCTACCAAACTATGTGTTGTTGCCGTGAGCTATTATTCCCCTATAATTGTGGAGAATTTTTAGTGATTTGTTTAGAGTACATATGCTTCCTAGTTATGAAACCTTATAGTTTACTTCCTAGAATAGGACTCTTTACACGCTATATAAGCCTTGCTTTCTCTTGTACTTTGTATTGAAATATATTGAAAACATGCGCAATTTTAACATGGCATTAGAGCATAAACTCTCGAACCTATAGAATCAAAAAAAAAAAAAAAAAAAAAATATGAAAGCTATGGGAGGTCAAACTCTCACAACAAATACCCAAGGAAGAATTCAATCCTTGTAGACCTGACATCTAGAAGGTCCTAGATGTTAAAACAGACATAGATTGTAGTGAATCATGAAACAGTTGCTGCGTTGATTGGCGGCAAGTTGGATGACACCAGTTATGGCCTCTGGTCCCAAGTTGTGGAGATGTACATCTTGAGCAAAGACAAGTTAGTACACATTAATGGAGATTTGCTACTACCAAAAGAAACAGATCCAAATTTCAGAAGGTGGAGAATAAAATAGGTAGTGGTGAAGGGATGGCTAATCAACTCTATGGATCCAAAGTTGATTAGCAACTACATCAGATACCCAATGGAAAAAATGATATAGGATGCCATTGCTATGACATATTTTGATGGAGCTGATATCTCATAGGTTTATGATATGAAAAGGAATGTGGCAAGTTTCAAACAGAATGGAGGGGCTATCGGACATACTACAACAATCTTCAAGGCTTATGAAGAGAAATAAACTTTCGTCATCTAATCCAATGATCTGCGCAACTAACATATAGAGGTATAATTCTATGGTGTAGGAAGATAGAGTTTACACATTCCTGGATGGATTAGATGATCGGTTGGACAAGATTTGAGGAGATGTGCTTTAAATTACACCATTTCCTTATAGTGGAACAAGCCTATGAACATATTCGTAGGGAAGACCTAAGGCAAACAGTGATGTTGACAAATGGAGAGACCATACTTGGTGCTGCTATGATCTGAAAAGATGGACAACGGTCACAATAACCTTTGCTTCAATTATCATCCAGTGGAAAGTTTAACACACCACCAAAATTACAGCCACAAGAAGGAGTTTTTTGTTCTACAAATTGTAGAAATAAGAATTATACCAGGTATATATGCTTTAAATTGCATGGATATCTAGAGTGGTGGCAAGAACCCAAGGCAAAGAAGAAACATGAAGCAGGTGTGGTGCACACTGAAACAAATCCTGGTCGAGCTGCACTCATGAACGCTAAAAGTCCCTCTCTTGTAGTGGAAAATACAGAACATCACCTATCCTTCATACCACAAGGGGATTCATTGTATGCTGCAACAAATAAATCTATGGCCCTTAATAGTTGTTTGGATAACTAGTTCTGGAGCAATGGACCACATGACGTTCGATCCATAAGATTTGGCTGAAAACACTCGACCAAAACGAATATATATTGCCAACACTAATGGAGTGACTTATCCAGTTGCAAGGGTTGGGAGAGTGGATTTTTGACCCTCTTTTTCATTACCAAATACTTCATTAGTACCATCTCTTTCGAATAAACTATTATCAATTAGACAGGTTACCAAGGATCTGAATTATTGTGCACTAATGTGTCCTAGTTTTTGTTTGTTTCAACATATTCTCACGAAGGAGATTATTGGTCGTAGTACTAGAAGAGAAGGGTTGTATTACATGAATGGCTTATGTACTGGTAGTGCAAATAATGCATAACAAACTAGTGACAAAGAAAACATATTTAGTTATGGCATCATCGACTGGGACATCCATCTTTCTCATACTTAAAGCACTTATTTCCAAGTTTGTTTTCCAACTTATATGGTCGTTTTTTAAGTGCATAGGTGCATTCTAGCCAAGAGTCATTATGTACCTTACCCAATAAGTTTGAAGAAATGCGAGATTCTATTTATGTTAGTTCATTTGGATGTTTGGGATCTAGCTCCTATTTCAATTTCTTCAAGCATTAGATGGTTTGTGTTGTTTCTAGACAACTGCACACAATTTGATGTAAAATAAGAATAAGGTCTTTGGAATTTTTTATTCATTTGATAATGTGATCAAGACCCAATGTTTGGCTAAACTCCAAATTCTACTATTTGATAACAATGGGGAATATGAAAATAATGCATTATTAACATATTTCCAAGCACATGGCTTATATCATGAGATCTTTTGCTCTCAAAAACCATAAAAATGTTGTAGAATGGAAAAATGGGCATATCCTTGAAATAGCTCGAGGTCTTCTCGGAAAAGCACATGCACCACGCTGCTACTAAGCGGATATACTTATTACTTGCTATTCACTTGATGAATCGCATGCTATATCAAGTTTTGAATTTTGAAATGCCACTTCAAGCTCTTGTTGGTCATGTACCATTGCCTTTTTCCCTAATACTACCACCACGAATATTTAGGTGTGTAGTGTATGTTAGCCTCCATAAAAATCAATGGACCAAGCTTAACCCATATGCTGTTTGGTCTTTTTTTTTAGGATACTAGCTTATAAGAAATGTTATCGATGCTATGATCCATCTACCAAGTGCTTGTATGTTACTATGGATGTCACATTTCTCGAGTCAAAAATAGTCTTTATAATACCAGATTCTTCTCTTCGGAGGGAGCGACTAAATGAAGATTAGAATATGGATAACTGGAAAAACTAGCTAGGCTTAGAGGATACAAACTTGAAAGAAGTGAATGGAATTAATGACATGACTGAATTTGAAGAAATGAATGGAACTAGTGACATGACCGAATACGATGGAGCTCAACCTTTACTATCATCTTTGGTTGAAAACCAACCTATGATTCAATGATTAATATGACTAGGCAAGAAGAAGATATTGATACCAAGATAAGAGATGAGCAAGAACGACTCAATCCTAATGCTTTACTACCATATGACCACACTCTTGAGAATACTCCCTCGGTAAAGTTTTAAAGTCATCTTCTCCCACTAATATCATAGATGAGTATTTTGGCTAGAAATTACCTTTCAAACATAATCATGGTAAGCCACTAAATCGAAATTCACCTAATTATGAAGAAAGGAAGCCTAAATATCCAATTGTTAACCATATTTATACTCAAAGATCGTCATAACCCCTTAAAGCTTTTGTGCATAAGATATCCACTTAGCATATTTTGAGTGTAGTACTTGAGAGAATGAATGACCCCAAATGGATCTAAATGATAACCGAAGAAATGATAGTCGTGCAAAAGAATGATACGTGGAAGCTTATGGCTTTTCTTGAAGGAAAGAAAATAGTAGGATGTAGATTGGTGTTCTCTACCAAACATAATGTAAACGGGTCGGTAGAGAGATACAAGGTGAGACTTGTAGCGAAAGGATACACCTAGACATATGGCATAGATTATTGAGAGACTTTTTTACTAGTAGCAAAGCTAAAAGCTGTCCAAGTTTTGTTGTCTCTTGTTGCAAATTTAGATTAGCCACTACATCAATTTGATGTGAAAATGCATTTCTTCATAGGAATCTTAATGAAGAAGTGTATGAGGATGTTACTTTAGGCTTTACTTCTTATCACAAATTGGGGTCGTATGTAAGTCTGTGAAAGTTGCTATATGGTCTAAAATAATCATTGAGAGCATGGTTTAGATGATTTAGATGGGCTATGAGAAAACATAGTTTCAAGGAGAGCAATTTAGACCATACTCGATTTTGAAACATAAAGGTTGTGGTAGCATTGATTTGATAATGAGGTATTTGGAATTTTTCGTTCATTTGATAATGTGATCAAGACCTAATTTTTGGCTAAACTCCAAATTCTACTATCCGATAACGAGTGGGGAATACGAAAATAATGCATTATTAACATATATCCAAGCACATGGTTTATATCATGCGACCTCTTGCTCTTAAACACTATAAAAATAGGCATATCCTTGAAATAGCTTGAGCTCTTTTCATAGCAACACATGTACCACACTACTACTAGGGAGAAATAGTTATTATTGGTATTTACTTGATGAATCGCATGCCATCTTGAGTTTTGAATTTTGAAATGCCACTTCAAGCTTTAGCTTCATATTTGAGTGAGTAGTATATGTTCACCTCCATAAAAATCAATGGGCGAAGCACGACCCATGTGCTATCCGATGAATTGTTTTTTGAGATAACGACTTATAAGAAAGGTTATCGATGCTATAATCTAACTACCAAGCACTTGTAGGTTACCATGTGATATAATGCATAAACTCTTTATTTAGTGTACCTATTCTCCTATGATTATGAATGATTGGTGTTTAATTATTGAGAATTACTTATATAATATTTATGAAGCGAGATAAATATCGAGTTGAATTGATTTAAGATGAAATTGGATGTTTTGACATCCGTTTGCCACATGTCAAAAAGGATGAAGTCGTTAGAGTTCTAGTAGGACACAATTGCTCGAAGTGTGCCTTCACCTAGTGACAAAATCATAATTCTAGAAGCCGAGTAGAATTCTCGCGCATGGAAGTTAAGAAAAAATAGGATTTTGCTCTTATCTCCTAATTTGGCCTCTATCTTATTTAGGCGATTTTTGTGTTTATCCGGAAGGAGTACACATCCTATTAAGTGATGAAGTCTTTTGAGGATTCCTTATAAAAGGGAGGGAGAGAACCTTTGGGAAGGCATTCGACGTGTAGAGCAATTCGGATAGCATGCTCATCTTCGATTCGGCATCTTTCTCAAAAGAATGAGTAGCTAAAATCTCCTTCTAGTTAAGAGGATATAGAGGTTTTTGGTTCAAGATTCATTGTGAGATCTTTGTGATTTAATTGTGTCTTTTCTAAGAATATCAATAATTTTCTGTGTTCATAAGATAAGTATTTTTCTTGATTGATTAGAAGACATTTTGATTAATTGAGATTGAATTCTTGATGCCAATTGAAGTGTTAAATTCGTATATGTTTAATTATTTCAATATCTGTGGCAATTTAATATGATTAATGAATTGAAGTGTTAAGTCATATTAAAGGAAATAATTATTCCAATTTAAACAACCAAGCTAGCATGTTGTTGATTGGAAATTGATCACCCTTCTATCTCTTCTTGCTATTATCAATTTAAATCTTAAGAGCTTGTTTAGGATTGATTGATTAATAAGAGTTGTGATTGAAGAGCTTATTTCAATCATCGATTGTCCATCAATGATCAATTGAATTGAACCACAAACAATATATCGCTCCCGACTGAAAATTTGTTCTCTCCGATTTTACTTCTTTACTTTTTTGTTTTGATTTCCATTGTAGTAGCCTTATTTTAGCTTGTCAAAAAAAAAAAAAAAACTCCCATTCTACTTCTATTTTCCTTTTTTTTTTTTCGGATAAGATAATTAATCAATCCTTGTGGAGTACGACTCTATTCACCCTGTTTACAAAATCCATTTTTGAGAGTAGATTAGTTTATTTTGTTGGAATCGACACCCACCACCATGGATGCCATATTTCTCGAGTTAGAAATGTTCTTTACAACCTAGATTCTTCTTTTCGGAGGGAGTAGCTAAGTGAAAAAGCCTAATATGGATAACTAGAAAAACTAGCTAGGCTTAGAGGATACAAACTTGGAAGAAGTGAATGGAACTAATGACATGACTGAATCGATGGAGCTCAACCTTTACTATCATTTTTGGTTGAAAACCAACCTACGGATTCAACAATGAATATGATTGGGCAAGAAGAGGATATTGATACCAAGACAGGGGATATTCAAGAACAACCCGAGTCCTAATGCTTTAGAACCACATGACCACACTTCTAAGAATACTCCTTATATATAGTTTCTAAACTCTTCTTCTCTCACTAATATCATAGATGAGTATGTTGGCTATAAATTACCTTTCAAACGTAATCTTGGTAAGCCACTCGTATCAACATTCACTAGAACATAAAGAAAGGAAGTTTGAATATCCCATTGCTAACAATGTTTGTACTCAAAGATTGTCATAATCCCTCAAAGCTTTTGTGCATAAGATATCCATTTAGCATATTTTGAGTACAATACATGAGGCACTGAATGACCCCAAATGGATCCAAGCGATAACTAAAGAAATGATAGATTTGCAAAAGAATGATGCATGGAAGCTTATGAATTTACTCGAAGGAAAGAAAACTATGGGATTTAGATGGGTGTTCTCTACCAAACATAACATAGACGAAGTCAATAGAGAGATACAAGGGGAGACTTATAGCGAAGGGATACACCCACACATATGACATATATTATTCAAAGACTTTTTCATTAGTTGCAAAGTTAAAAGCTGTATGAGTTTTGTTATCTCTTGCTACAAATTTAGATTGGCTACTACATCAATTTGATGTGAAAAATATATTTCTTCATGGGAATCTTAATGAAGAAGTGTACGTGGATGTTCCTTCGGGCGTTACTTCCTCATCACAAACTAGGGTCATATGTAAGCTATAAAAGTTTCTACATGGTCTAAAAACAATTGCCAAGAGCATGGTTTGGATGATTTAGCTTGGCTAGGAGAAAACATGGTTTCAAGTAGAGTAATTCGGACCATACTCTATTCCTAAAATATCGACAAGGGATGGTGATAACGTTGATTGTTTATGTTGGTGATATAATAATTACGAGGAATGACAAAGAGGAAATCTCTAGTTTATAGAAACATTTGGCGACTAAGTTTGAAATAAAAAAACTTGGGGGTTTAAAATTTTTTTATGTATTGAGGTATCTAGGTCGAGTTAAAGCATATTTTTACCACAATGGAAATATGTTCTTGACTTGCTTACTAAAATAGGAATGCTTGAGTGTAAACTAGTTGATTCACCGAGTAGTTCGGAATGATGGGTTGTGAGAATACTTGAACCAAATTCCAACAAATAGAGAAAGGTACCAATAACTTGTAGGAGAGCTGATTTACTTGTCTCATACCCCATTAGATATTATGTATGCTATGAGTTCGGTGAGTCAATTTATGCATAATCCTAGCGAGGATCATATGAATGCCATTTCGGAATCTTATAGTATTTAAAGTCATCTTTAGGGAAAGAGCTTATGTTCAAAAAATATAATCATCTGAATATCGGTGGTTATACGGACTAGGCTGAGAGTACTTTTGATAGAAAATCAACATCCGAATATTTCAACTTTATGGGTGAAATCTAGTCACATGGATAAGTAAGAAACAAAAAGTGGTCGCATTGTCTAGTGCGGATATCGAGTTTGAAGGCATGGTTAAAGGTCTTTGTGAGCTTATTTGGTTAAAAGAGCTACTAAAAGAATTTGGCTATTTATTTGAGTCTACGATGAATCTTTTACTGTGATAATAACTCTCTTATAGAGATTGCACAAAATTTGGTTCAACAAGATTGAACTAAGCATGTTGAGATAGACCAATATTTTATCAAAGAAGAACTTGAAGCTAAGGTAGCACAATTTCTATTTGTTAAGTCCAAAGATCAATTAGCAAATATTCATACAAAGCAATCTCAAGCGGGGTCTTTTATAAGTCAATTGACAAGTTGGACATTGACGATATCTATGCACCAACTTGAAAGAGAATGTTGGCGTGAGCTGTTACTCTCCTATAATTGTGGAGACTTTTTAGTGATTTGTTTACCGTACATATGCATCCTCATTAAGAAACCCTATAATGGGACTCGGTATATGCTATATAAGCCTTGCTTTTCTCTTGTACTCTGTATTGAAATATATTGAAAACATACAGAGTTTTAACGTATGTGATCTTTTTAATAGCTAGCATTAAACTCTTTTGAATGGTTTTCTATGAATTTTATTTTTAATTTTGTGTTTACCCTCTATCTGTTGAGTTAAAGAATGATATTTAATTTCTATCAATTTGTAAGTTTTTTTTTAAATCTAGCTTCAAGTTAGTTCTGTCTTTTCTCGGACCTAGTTAACGCTAACCACTCTTCTTGCATAGAAGTTGCTGTTATAAGAGGATAACTTTTATCATCTTCGTCCCAAGCTAATGAGAATCTTGTTGCTTTTTTTGGTACTATCTAGAATACCAATCGAGATTGATTTTATATTATCTCTCTAACAATTGTCTGGATTGATTAGGTAACCTGCATTTTTATAAAGGAAAATTATTGGATATTTGGATTCAATCTCTTCATACTAGAAAAGTTTTTCCTCTCTAGAAAGGATAAGAAGATTCTTTCACTTGCGTTTTCATCCACAACCTAGGGTTACCCTAGTTTTTGTGGCCATGCCACCAATGATAGGGAAGCTGAATTAGTTCTCAGCGTGTAAGCACTGATGACAGAACCTTAGCCTTGAGACATCCTATGTATGCTCGTATGTTAGAAGTTGACATTTCAGTTGCACTTCCTTCGAGAATTTTGGTGGGTTCAAGCAAAGAATCAAGATTTTGGCAATTCGTGGAGTACGAAGGGAATTTAATATAGTATAGTGGTTGGCCACTCTATTAGTAAATGTCGGAAGAGAAAATCTCACCAACCTTCTAGACCTAAAATTAAAAGATGATGTTCCTGTAAAATAATGAATCTGTATATTATTATTGTATAATTCTTGATCAGTTTATTGGTTTGTATAGACATTACAAGATAAGTCAAAGGGTGTTTGACAGTGAGAAGAAGTCTGTCCCATAGAGTCTTCCACACACTGGCTCGGAGTAGTAACGCCTGGAGTGCCTACTGGCTCGCAGCAGACCTGCGCCTGGGATGCGTGCTGGTTCACAGCAGTCCTGCCTAGAGTGCAAGACTTCCATGCTGAAACTTCTAACTCTTATGTGAGACTGATTATTCTTACAGTCCTAACAGTTCCAACAGGGAAGAATAAGTACCAGAATAACACCACAAGTCATATTATCGTAGTTACTCATAAAATAGGTTTGCATGATGGAAAAAGGATAGAGGCCTGGCAGAAGGTGAAAAAGTTTAGGTATCATGTGGTAAATAATGGTAACATTAAAGGAAAGACTGTTTCAAGAGGGTAACAAAGTAGATATTGCACTTGTGGAGAAAGTTACAAATGCAGGTTTGACAGAAAATGCACAGTTTGGTTCAGATTGAACTTCAGGTTGGGAAACGTCGGATGCAAAAATTGATAAAAATTCAGCGTTGGATCACAAAGAAGATAAGGAGAACGCTTTAGAGCGAGGATATAGATGGGGGCTGGGGATAATAGGCTTGCCTTTTTCGATAATTTGATTGATGAGGAGTCTAATGATGATGAGTCAGACACTAACCCTCTGTTTGGATAGGATAGAAAGTGAGAGAGAGGAAAGAAAATAGGAAGGAAAGAAAAGATTTTCTCCGTTTGGTTTACAGAAGAAAACTGAGGAAAGAAAAAAAAATATTAAACAAAGCTAAAAAAGGTAGGATCCATTTTCCTCCCAAAATTGGGAGAAAATGGGGAGAAAAATGGAAGGAAACTCATTTAGCTCATGGTTCTTCCAGTTTCATCCTTGGCAGCCATCCCTTCCCTTCTTCTTCCCTGAACTCTCTCTCTCTCTCGCTTACCAACAGCCATCATTGAACATCTACAAATCCACTCCTTCTCTCCTTCTCTCTGCAAAACGGAAGGAAACTCAAAAAATATCGTTTCATTTTGATATATATCTCATCTCTCTCTCTTACATTGCTTTCTCCATGTCACTCTCTCTCTATGTCTTTCCACGTCTGCCCGTCTTTCCCTAGGTCTTCCGATGGATGGACCTGCCGTTGTTGAGCTTTATATAAATATGAACAGTG